TTTTTCCCTGGTATGGTGGCAGACAAGATATCACCTTCAAAGTCACCAACAGTTTAGCACATCAGAAATGCTTTTGACTTCGGACACTTTTAGGAGGCTGCTGTCCTTGRCTCCAGTGTCACAAGACCTCATACTTTCATGTGTTTACGTTTACTAGTGCTGGATAAAGTCTAGCACAGCSTCCAGGCCCCCAGGCTGGCTGCTGTCTGTGCTCCTGGCTATAAATGACCTCCCTCTCTTTCTTTTCTTAAAACAAAACCGATACAAAGTCTTCCGAGCTTCTMTCACCTGAATGTTGCACAGACACTGAGAAACAGCTTCTGACAAAGTTCTGGAGCACTTCTCTTTCTGGAAATCAAATCTCAAATACAGAAAAGGCAATAATGCACTGCTTTGCAAAAGATTCTTTTAAATGATTGTACTTTAGTCCCTGATAAAGCAAAGAAGACTAACACACAACTATGGAAAACAGCCAACCTGTAGCACTTCCATGCTCACTGTGAGAGCCATCTGAGTCCCGCTGGCTGCAGGTGGGTTATCCACAGCAAGGACAGGAAAATTTCACTTGTTACCATGCCACAGGCCAGCCTGAACAGCAGGCAAAAGTCCAGAGGAGTTTGTAGATGACTGCAGCACAATGATGATGGATCACTCAGTGGATTCCCCATAAGGGGACAACTCTTTCYTAGCAAGGGTTGTAACCACTTCCTGTCATCCCAGCACAGATCTTCCATTGTGGCACATCTTCCCAACTTCTAAAAGCTRAGCAGATCTGTATCAGTGTTTGCTATTTATCCATATGGAGCCTGGAATAAACACATCACATGGTATTTCCTCAGCATGTAGACAAGAGGAAGCTGTTTGCCTCTACGTGACTTGTCAGCTAACCAGTGACCCAAATGCAGTATGATGTGCTTAGGAAACTCATGTGGATTTGTGACCCTCTTTAGAGAGCTTTGGGACTGTAAAGACAGTAAACACAAAGTACCTGCAGTTTTACTATTTGTGAGCTCTGAAATTTTTGCTTGCAAGCTAATCTACATTGTGTGCATGGGTCAGGAAAAGRTAGGCATAAAAAATTGTACCAGTTTTTATGTCTGTCTTGTAATGCTCCAACCATAAAATGACACAGA